AGAGGGAGTGGCGGCAGATAAGATAACACGGTGAATTCTATCCATCGATTACTGAGGGATAAGGTTTCACACGGAGCAGAGGGCCCTGGGTTTCCCTTCCCCTAAGTCTGAGGGGAACCTCTGGCGCTTGGTGGAGAGGCTGCCTCTGCCATTTCAGTGACAGTATTTGGGCATGTGCTGGAGTTTGTGTTAAGTTACCGCAATCTGGGGGAAACAAGGAACTCTCTTAATTTCCCCCGCTGTCCTCTCTTCTTCTGGGTAACTTCCAATGGCAATAAACTGTCAGACTCACGAGAGCTGCAATGCCCGCGCCGGAAGCGCTTAACCCCGCACCTGACCCAGATTGCGGCCTGGACTGGAGCCTCGCTGCCACTAACTCACAGTAATGCAATTACAGCCTTCTGGAGCTCCGCTCAGGGTGCCGGGGACTGCTGGCGGTCACGGGGGACGAAACCACTCCCTTTGGGGAGCCCGCACGCGTCCAGAATCTACAGGGAGGGGCGTGGACCGCGGGCTGCCTGGGCGCGAGGCGCGCGGAGTTCAAAGCCGCGCGGGCCGGGTGGGAGGCGCGACCCCGGGACCCGGAGGAGGGGCGCGGGGGCCACGGCAGCCCTCTTCACTCGCCCGGAAAAGAAACAGGCGCTGTCGCAGTTCTGAGCACACGCGTGCCCCTCCCCGGGCCGCCCCCTTCCCCCGCCCTCCTCCCCGCGTAACGGGCCGCGGGGCTAACTTCCCGAAACTTGGCAGAGGGAAATCCTGACCCGGCCGGCACCTCGGGGCGGCGAGCGCCAGGGCGCGCCGGGGACGGAAGTGGGTGGGAGCAGTGGCCGCGCAGCGCCTTTGTTACCGCTCGGGGACCCCGCGGGCCGCCGGGAGCACCCCGTCGCCGCGTCGCGGGAGTCGGCCACCCCTTCCCTGCCCGCCGCCCCCAGCAGGACCTCACAGCGCCAGAGTAAAAACTGACCCCACCTCCGGCCCCGGAGAGGAAAGCGCAGCTGAGTGTCGTAGTGTCGCCGGCCTGAGCCCTACGCTGCGTTCCCTGCCCCTTGACCACCGCGCGAAGGGACGTTCCTCACCTTCCCGAGCTTTCTCCAGACCTCCGGGGGAGGAGTGTCGGCAGAATCGCCGCTTCTCGGAGACCGCGCCTCGCCAGCCCGGACTTGTCAACAGCGCCACCGGCACTCCCCGTCTCCTCTCTCAAAGCGAGGATCGGTCCCCGTCTCCGGGTGATTCACTGTTGCTACTTACCTGGAGGCTCACACAAGTCCCCTCCCTCCGCCGGCCAGAGCAGCGATCCCGCGCTGGCGCCCTCTGCCGGGCCACCAGGAGGGAGCACCCTGGGGACAGAGCGAGGAGCGGCGCGGAGGGTCGGGAACATGGAGCCCGGCCGAGCGCAGGGACGCCCTAAGCCTCCCAAACGGGTCACCCCGTTGCAAAACAGGGGCCACCGCTCTGGGACCCTCTTTGGCCACCAGGCCTGGGCCAGACCCCGGGCGAAGAGAACCAGAGCTGTCCCTGCGCCCCAAGGCACCCACGCGCGCCGAGTCACCCCACTCGCGGGCCAGCAGGTCCAGACCTGCATCGAGGAAGTGTCCCAAGGAAATCGCGATGGCTCGCGTGCACATGTCCTGTTTTAAAACACTGGAAAAGCAGTTGTGCTGTGTGCAAATGTAGTTTGTGTCTTGTATCTTAGTAGCCCTCTTCTGCCCAAATTAAAGGCGCGGAGGGGAGGGCGGTGGCCTGTCACACTCCTCCTCCCCGGGTCGTACGACTAGGAAGAGGCTTGGAGCGAGGTCCAGGTGAAGTTGCAGCGCCGGGAACTATGGGGTCCCGGTCCAGCGGAAGGTCTGGAGGCCGGGTCGGCTTGTCGCTCCCTCTCTGGGAGAAGTGGCTACAGGAGTAACTAACTCTCTTTTTCGCCGAAGTAAATACACTGCCAGCAGTTTAGCCTACCTCCCCCCACCCCATCTGCCCTCAGGTCCTGAAACTTTGGAGGGAACCAGACTGCAGGAAAGAAAACCTACGCGTCCTGCGATGGACCGCGTCCACATTCGCACCCCAACTTCGCGACCCGCTCACCTACTCCGCGCGCCCCTGCGGAGCCGGGGCCGCACAGGCTGTTCTCGCCCACCTGCCGGGACGGCCGCGCGCACAAAGTTCCCCGCGGCGACAGAAGTGGCGGCTGTGGGCCGGGGGAACACACGCGCAGGACCTCGGCGGCTGTCGCACAGTCCCCGCTGTCTCTCGGAGAGGGGCTGGGCAGAGTCTGCCTGGCCCCAAGCACCACAGCTGCAGGAGCAGAGCAAGTTGCAAGACTGACCCGGGCGGACCCGACGCCTCTTCCTCAGACTGCGGGAGCACCAGTCCTGGGGCGGCGGGCGGCGCCGGGTATTAATTGTAGCCCCCGGGTGCCGGCCGCCGGGCGCTCTGAGTGGCTCGGACAGCGCGCCAGGCCTGCGGGGCCGGCCCCACCCACCCCTCCGCGCGCGCCCGTGCGCACGCTCCCGGCGGCTTCGGCTACGGGGCTCCCCGCTTTCAGCCGCTGCGTCCTCGCGGCTGCGGAGGCTGGAGGGCGCCGCTTACCTTAGAGACCCTGAGCCGGCGCTCCGTTTCCACTCAGTCTAGGGATAAAGCCCAACAGCGTGTGCGAACTTTGGAGTCGTTGACACTCTGGGCCAGTTGTCAAGGAGACCATCGTTGCGGGGCCACTCACTATCGTGAAAAAGTCACGTCACCTTCCCAACTGACGGTCTTGACGAAGGACCATGCCCTATCTCAGTGGTTCTCACACATCACAGTTTAGCTAATCAGAATCTTCTAGATTTGTTAAAACACAGATTGCTGCCAACTTCCCACCCGATACCCTTTTTTTGCTTCTTTAATAAAGTCTTCAAGGGACTGAGAATTTGCGTTTTTAACAAGTTCCCAGGTGATGCTGAGAAAGTTGTGAAGACTAAATGAGTTAAGGTTTGCGAAGTACTTGGTAATCTGCTAAAGCAGTAGATAAATTTAAACATGTTAAATCCACTTGTGCTACTTGTCTAAGGAGATAGCTGTTCGCATTTACTTTTCCTCCAAGCTCTTCTTTTCCTCAGAACGTTAGACTCTCCCGTTTTTCTTCTTCAGTATACACCAAGTGTATAAACGCCAGTCAGAAAAGCGAAAGGTTCCGGAGTTTGCTAGGGCCGCAGTAACAAAGTTTCACAGACGAGGTGGCCTAAACAACAGAAATTCATTTTCTCACAATTCTGGAGTCTAGAAATCCAAGATCAGGGTGTGGGCAAGGTCGATTTCTTCTGAGGCTTCTCTCCTTGCCGTGTAGGTGGCCAGTTTCTCTCTGTCTTCACATGGTCTTTCTTTTGTCTTAATCTGCGTCTTAATCTCCTCTTTTTATAAAGGCACCAATTATGCTGGATTAGGGCCCACCCACATGACCTCGTTTTAACGGAATTACCTCTTTAAAAACTCTATCTTTTTAAATACAATCACATTCCAAGGTACTGGGAGTTAGGACTTTAACAGAAGAATTTTTTTTTTTTTCCGAGGAGGGACACAACAATTTAGCCTGTGACAGTGACCTGCACTGTCCCTAAGATACTAGAACAGAAGTTGAACTTCTGCCTTCCCTAGTCCCTGCTCCATCCCTATGCCTCCACTAAAGGCTGGCCAGTAGACTCACCCAAACAGTTAAAGTGCTGTGATTAGAGCTGGAAGGACTTACAATGGAGTAAAGAAACAGCCCTCTCAAGTCAGTTTACGATCCTCTGAAAGATATCAGTATAACACTCCAATCTGAAAATATTAGGAATCTGTCAGGAATTTGGGATCCCTGCCTAGCCAACATTTCAGAAATGGCCTTTTGCCTTTTGCTAATGACTAGGTACAGAGTCACCCTTACCTTCGTCCAGGCTCTGTTGGAGTTATGCCCTCTGCCTCGTACCTCCGTCATTTCCAGAGGCTCCTGAAGGAAGGAATAAATCCACTAGTCTTGTCTTTTTCCTGCTCTCTGTGAGTGCTCTGGTCACATTTACAGCTCAGAGGAGGCAAGAAAGAAAGTGAGGACAGGGCTGTCTGTACTGACCCCACACTAACTAGAGCTATCGAATGACTAATATTCAGCACATCAGTAATTGCCCTGAATTTGGAGCCTTCCCAAGGCTGCATTTCCAGTCTTCTGCTGGTCCTACTTCATATCTTTGCTCGGTGGCTTCATTTAACACCAGGCCAGACCTCTCTCCCCAAGCTCCAAATCAAAGTGGGTATTGCATCCCCATAGGCACTCCTAACTCAGTGTCCATCAGTAAGCTCTTTCCCCAAACTGTGTCCTCCCCCTGCATTTTCTGTCTGTGTAGATGGCACAAACGCCACTCTGGTCATGCCTGCTGGAAGCCTGGGAGTCATCTGAGACCTGGCATGCTTTAATCCACCTGCTACTGTGCCCTTGATGTCTCTCAGAGGCCTCTGCCCTTCTCCGTTTCTACCACCACTGCCTGGGCCGAGGCCCTTCCTTTGTACTGATTTTGAGCACCAGCCTCCTAACTAGACCTGTTGCTCCAGCCTGGCTTCTCAGCCAGCACCCTCCACATTGCTGAGTTGAAAGGGCCATTTCTTTACTAGATTTTAAGTCCTTCCCGCTCTAATCACAGCACTTTAACTGTTTGGGTGAGTCTACTCACCAGCCTTTAGATCTTTCAAAACTAGAAACCTGGTTCAGCTCTCAATGGATTCCCTTTAAGTTTCAGGAGAAAATTCAAGTTCCTTTTCTCGTCTCCCTCCAGAGGCTCATTTCTGATCAATCTCCATTAAATCATGAGCTCCTAGCGGAAAAGAACCTTATCCTGTTTATACGTCTGAAGCCTAGATTAGACTTGAGCTCAAAAAAAGAAAGTTGGCTTTAAGGAATGAATTAATTCTTAGAAATTCACACGATCTTGTAAAACTTAGGCTTTATTTGCAAATACTTTATTTGGAGCAATCTTCACTTTTCTGATGATACTTTGTGAACACTCTTAAGTCATCTTTTGTTTAAATTATAGGTTCATCCTTTAGAATCTCTAATTAACTTCTATGCTTCCTAAATATCCAGAGTTCCTTTGAGTATTTCAAACTGATAGTTATGAAATCAATTTTGAGCATTTTTGTTTTATGAAATATAATTAGATTTTAAAATACTCAAAGACATCCTACTTGGCAAGAAGTAGGTATAGTTTTCATGAAACATTTTTTTCTGGTTAACTGTATTTGTGAGTTGTGTGTGTGTGTGTGTGTGTGTGTGTGTGTGTGTACAAGGGTTGTTGTGTCAATCAAATTTATTCCTTCCTGTGGGTCATGATCAAAAAGCCAGAGCAATACTGTCTTGGGCAGTAGTGGAGCTGTGCTCACCTGAGGACACACATTTATGGAGATATTGAAGGGAGTGGGCATTAAGCAGAGAACATTTTCTGGAAAGAGAAATCTCGAGCCCGTCTTTTAATCAAGGAATTGGCAGGATGGAGAGTGAAATACAGTCCTCCCTCTGCACATAGTAGGTGCCTCGTAAATGGTTTTATTGACTGGTGTATGCACAGAGATGGGTGAAAATGTGTAAGATGTATTTGGGATGTTCTCTTGACTGGAGTCTGTCAGGGAATAAGAAGAAATGAAATCAGTAACACAGACAAGATGAGGGAAGCCTGGTTTGTCGCCAGACATTGCTGGTGTTCCCTGAGGTTCACAAACATGAGCAAGACGTGCAGTGACATGGAATTCCTCACCCGGCTTCCACCAAATGTCCCAAGATGAAAAGTATGGTATTAAGTTAACCTTTGCTGAACTAAAAGTATCACTTGCTTTGTGATAAAGTTGAAGATGTAAGAAACTCAGAGCCATCTGTGCTCTTGAGTGCTCAAGAAATACGATCAGTTCAAAAACTGAATTTTCTAATTTCCGATAGTCCACAAATCTGGAAAACCTAGTGAGAGAGGGGCAGGAATGAGATAGGATTATGTAACAAAAGAAAATAACAAGCAAGCAGCCCTTACAAAACTATAACCTTGAGAGTTATGCCAAGTATTTCCATCCATTATTAAATGCCTTCAACCAAGGAACCTAGATCCAGCCCACAAATATTTAGAAGGCGATGTTCTCACTCCCTAGTCTAAAGTTTAGAATCTGTAAAAGAAGGTTGCCATGTAAATAAAGAATACGTATTATCGCTACTATATATTTTTTTTCATCGCTTAAATCATTCATGTCTGAGTAGATTAGAATAATGAAAATTTGGGCCAGCAGAA